CCCCCCCCCCCCCAACCTACATTTCCAGCATTTACTCAGCCATTGGGTTACTTTCTGGCTTTCACTCTGTGACCCAAGAACTTCTTAATGCAAACTGACAAGGGAGCGCAATGGGGTTACAGGAATCTCCTGATTCTGGTATGCACATTCTGGTTCACCAAAGAATGACATGTGAGGTCTCAAATGAAAGGTGGTGTCACTCTGGTCATCAATATCATTGTGAAATTTATGTACAGGTGTTCTGTATAAACTGAAAACATGTTCTTAAAGTCTGTATCAAGGTACTAGTCACCAGAAAAGGTGAAAAACAGGTTTTCTGTCAGACAGGCTACCTGTTTACATGTAAATTGAGTATTTTCTTGTTCACAGTGGATCCTCTCACCAGTCTGAACTGAATGCAAATGAAGGATGGTAAGAAAGAATCTAACAGGAAAAGAAATGCAGCGGGAGAAGAGAATCTTATCTTGAGTGTGGGACATCACATTTGCTTCGTGAAAGAGGGGTCTCAACCAGGCTTGGTTGAGAATTCTGGAGAGAACTTTGGTTCAGATACTCTCTTGTCAAAAGAAGAGTAACTTGTCAGTTAAGTATAGGCTCTAGAAAGCATGTTATGATTTTGTTTAATATGTACCCATTTGTTTCCAATATTCTTACTCACTATTACTTGAATCGCTATTCTGTGGTAAACTTATTCTTGTTTTCACTATAATTATATCTAAGTGCTGTGGTGATAAGCAAAGTGCTGGTCCTGAGTTGAATCTTACAGGCCGGTGAGTTCTGTTTCTGTGGGAATAGCAGGCCTGTAATTCTGTAAGTGTTCTGGGGAACAGGGGCTGAACACTGCAGAGAACTCTGAGTACTCAGGGGTTACTGTGTGCCTATCGCTTCCTGTACAGAGAGAGTGAGACCTGTGGACACCTGAAAGGCCATGCTTGTGCTGCCACATACGGTTTCAGGGAGCTGATCTACAGCAGGCAGAGACAAGACTACTTCACACTAAGAGCAGGTAGTGGTGAGGTGCCTCACAGCCCTGGGTACCCCTGGGGACCATCACATACAACCCGAGGAGCATAGGTGGAAACTGGGACTGAAGTGGAGATGCAGTGCCCAAAAAAGTGGGGCTGTATATTCAATAGATAAAACTACCCAAATTTAAGTGCTGATATTCAGATTAGAATATAGGAGAACTTTTTACCTCTGCATTCTGAATGTGTTTCTTACTAGCCTCCGTTGATATATCTGCTGTAACACTGAGTGCATTTGGCACTGCCTCGGCAGGAGACTGAGAATTTCCATTACTGTCAACAACTGACTTCTTTTGCTCTTCTTGCATTCTCAGTAATCTCATCTCCTGTGAAAATGTTGCATAGCATTTTATATTATCATTTATTTCTGATCATTTATTGGCACAACAGTATCATTAATAAATACATTTTTTAAGGGCTCATCTAGAATACTGAAACAAGGGGCGCTCATATATTCTCAGCCATATACACCATTGCATTCAGTGCTAACAGAGGACTTTTACACAAAGAGGCAGTGAGAGTTACAACTGGGAACCTGTGTGTATTGCTTGCTTTACCTGCTCCAAAATGGATAACACTGAATTGTATGGAAGATTATTGATCTACAAATAACAATTGATCATTATACTGTTAAAAATACAGCTGTGCTTTTGAAATCTACATAACAAAATGATCACATGAAAGGAAAACAGAGCTGCAGTTACTTACAAACTGTGTTCTCTTTATAAATTTAGCCCATCTTGTGTTCAGTTTTTTCAGTTCTTTAGAAATATCTGATCCCACTTGCTCATTGCTGACTTCAATTAAGAAGTTTCCAGCTTCATTTAAGGAACCATGCACTGAGTTCCAGTCTGCCAGAATCTCAGTGGGGACCTATAGAGATGCATTGAAAGGATTAAAGACACACCATGCAGTTCTTTAATATATTTCCCAAAACAATAATAATAATTTGCACTTATAGTGCTTTTCATCCATAGACTTCAAAGTGCTTTAAAAAGGTAAACGAGTATCTTTATGCTTAATCACAAAGAGACATTCAATCAAATACCTTTTTAAGATGTCCTTTTCGTGTTTCATCCAACCATGTCTTCAGTAAATGAATGTTCTCCATATAAGTAGCCCAAGAACATAGAACTTTTTGTAGGACAGTGTTTACATTGTAAATATATTCTCTGCACATAGAAATCTTAGAGTCTACCATCTTAAATAGTTTACTAGTGTCTGGAGGATCACCAACTAGAATATTAAATACATGATAAAACAAATGTTAGAAATAGACACTGATTCACATTAATAATTTCAAAATAATATTAAGCATATTTCTCAATTGCTTGGAAACTGCCAAAATAGAGAAGTGAATCCTTCCTCATTTGGGTGCTGAAGGGGAATATCATTAACTGTTTGGAAAAACATAAACCAACTAAACAAAACCAACATTCTGCAGAAAATAAAAGAGGGGTAGCCGTGTTAGTCTGTATCCACAAAAACAAGGAGGAGTC